ATTTATACTCTTAAATCCTTGTATTCTTATTTTTCTTAATTCTCCCTTTAACCCTCACTAGAATTGGCGAAAAAATGTCATTGTTTTAGACACATACAATTCACCCCCTTGTGTTACTATGCGGTTCATCGATCTCATCTAGAGGTAGTCTCAAATGTGTGTGGTGAGTTGGCATAGGAAAAGTTTAACATTGTTATTTGTTCATAGTAATTTCTAGATGTAGAAAGTTTAACTTGCTGACTCATCCCACTAATGAAGCAAAATGGTGTGACTCTTCAGAAATTAGGAGGGAAATTGAAAAACATTCCGCACCAATTTTCACAAATATATCCACATCGCCCGCCAAAGTTGTAAACTTCATCGATTCGAATCACTCTTGGTAAAGAAGAAGACGATTCACTCGTTGGTAAGGAGGATTAACATGCTTTAGGTATTTTATAAGATTCCGCTTAATTTCCACATTTTGTCATTTTTAATTTGGTCTAGTTTCAAACGTTTATAGCTAAATCATGTCACTTCTTGGTTTTCTTTAATTAAAAGTGACTCCGTATATGAAAGGTATTTATTTTGGTTCTTACAATCTCTGAATTGAACCTGTCTCTCAATTTGCTTTATTTAGACTAGAAATCCTAGAGATGCTCTTATAGTCCTTGTATATATTTATGCCTCAATCTATTGAAGATGATAACAAAGGTGCCGAGATTGGGCAGAGATTCTCGCTTCTGTCACATCTTATATGGACGAGTCCGGTTTGTATCAGTTTGTATACCATGCAACCGTCACACGGTGCGCATGGTATACCTGGGAGAGCGAAGAAGCAGTTCGTATATTTTGGCTTTGTTATTTTTTATTTCTCCTTTTTTTTAAAAATGTTAATAATTTTTTTATTTTTGATTCGATTTTTATAAAATTTATATCAATTTTTTTTATTTTTCATGATCTTTTAAATGAGACCAATATTGCCTATGTAATTTTAACATATTAACATTTGCGTGTAAAAATATGTAACTTTACGTGTTAAAATATGTAACTCACGTTCAGTCAGGCCAAATGCAACTCGTGTGTATAAATATGTAATTCTACGTGTAAAAATATGTAACTTTACGTAAAAAATATGTAACTCGCGTTGAGACAGGTCAAATGCAACTCGTGTGTATAAATATGTAACTCGCGTGTATAAATATGTAACTTTACGTGTAAAAATATGTAACTTTACGTGTAAATATATGTAACTCGCGTTCAGGCAGGTCAAATGCAACTCGTGTATATATATGTAACTCGCGTGTAGAAATATGTAACTTTACGTGTAAAAATATGTAACTCACATGTATAAATACATAATACAATAAATTTTTTATATACACAATTTTAAGATAAATTGTGGATTACACAATTATTTTTATGTATTAAATTTAGTTCGATTTTCCTTATAATCCAATACTCATTAATATAATAGTTCGATAATTTCTTAAAATTACATAAGAAATATTGGTCTCATTTGAAAGATCATGAAAAATAAAAAATATTGATATAAATTTTATAAAAATCGGATCAAAAATAAAAAAGTTATTACCATTTTTTAACAACAAAAGCAATAAAAAATAAAGAAACCAGGCACAATACTCCGTCGTTTTGCAACCGGGCGCATCATCCTCATGGTGCGCCGATTGCACGATATAATTTGCGGGTTTGTATGTATTGTTTCATTTTAGTTTGTTTTGGAGGTCAATTATTATTGTCCATATGCCATGAATCCCATGCCATTTTTAGGTGAAAATGAAAAGAAATATTAGTTGAGTGGATTTTATTCGTTCCTTATCTATAGAAAACAAACAACCAAGGTGTAGTGGAAGGAATGCGACGGACAACGAGGGAATGGTTATGAAAAAACTATTTGTACACAATATCTTGCACTTATTGTGAGATAGTGTGTACAATATCTACAATATGAATAGCACATTTCGTCATAAATTAAAAAATTCTATAAAAGTATAGTAGCAGTCAGACAAAAAATTTATACAACTTCATCGAACAATTTCGATCACATGGAGCAAGTTAACATAATATTAAACACGCTCTTTGTCCCACTAAAATTGTCTTATTTTTCATTTTCAATAAATCTCACTAAGTTTGTGTGACTTTAAGTCATTTTTACTTTATTCTTACTAAATCTCACTAAGTTTGTGTGACTTTAAATCATTTTTACTTTATTCTTACTTTATCAATTCAATACAAACCATATAAGATTATCTCATTTTTCATTTTCAGTAAATCCCACTAAGTTTACGTGACTTTAAATTATTTTTACTTTATTTACTTTAACAATCCAATATCAACTACATAAACTTATTCATGTCTCAATGTTAGTGTGATAGAGATATTACTAGTTACTAGAGATACAATTATTTTTAGAGAGATGAAAATAGAGTCAAGGAAGTAGTTCTAAAGAAAGATTGTTAGTATTGTGCACTTCCTCACGTTCACGGAGTACATATTACTCAGAGCCCGTTTGGTAGCACAAAAATCGGCTGTTTTGGCTGTTTCTGCTGAAATTTATGAAGTTCTGGCTGAAGTGGCTGTTTTGGCTGATTCTGCTGATTCCAGAAAAAAATAGTTTAAAAATATATTTTATTAATAAAATAAAGAAAAAATTACATGTAAAAATAGCTAAAATGGTCATCTACAGTAACTTCAGCCAATACAGCCAGAAAAGTAACTCCAACCTTACTTTTTCTGCTTATTACCCAATTCAGCACGCGAAAGTAAAAATTACGTGTTTGGTGAAAAAGCTGGCTGATAAGCCTGATAAGCCGAAAAAAGGGTCTCCAAACGGGCTCTCAATGCGTTTCATTAGAATTGTCATATTTTCTCTTTTTGAATAGTGTCACTAAGGTTGTGTTATATTATCTCCATCATGTTGGGTTATGTTAACTTTATATTAGATGTGAATAAGAAAAGTAAAAATTATGTATACAATTGAGAGAGATAAACTAAATCACAAATTTATTATTTTAAAAAATAGCATACGTCCTTCGTATGCTATTTTTAAACTTGAACACATTTTAGTGGAAAATTAAACTTGAGCACATCTTAGTGGAAAATTAATGTGGGTTGTTGACTTTCCAATAATATTCCTACTTTGTGTCAAATCAAATAAAAAACGAGTAAAAATGTAAGGGTAGTTTTGACATGTCGTTTAAGATTTTTTTTGACAATAAAGAAAAAATTGAAAATAATAATCTCAACTATTGTTGGTCCGCTAACAATAATTCATACTATTGATTATTTTTGTATAATCCCAACTATATGGACCATCCTCCAATAATGGTCCATGACTGGATATTATCTGCTATAACAGGTGATTTTTAACAGAAATTAAGCGTAAAAATTAAAAGTTGGGATTATTTATAGAGATTACCTACTATATCTCTTCTCATCCACTTTAGAAACTATATGATTTTATTTATATTCGATCACGTCGGACCATTATTGGAGGACGGACTCTAAAGTTGGGATTATTCTGAAATAATCGATATTTGGGATTATTATGAGCAGACCGCCAATAGTTGAGATTATTATTATCAATTTTTCCTATTTTTTAATGGAAAAGTTGTTTTTTAAGGAAATGTGAAGTTTGTTTTGGAACACACGAATAAGAAAAGTGAGAAGTTGTTATGGGGACGGAGGTAGTAATTATTTAGATTTACTAAAAATAAAATTTGGCAAAATATAGTAGGATGGGGAAGTATCAAATTTGATAATTGTTTGCATAACTCAAAATTATTTGTACTTCATTTTAAAAATTTTAAATTATTAGTTCAATACCAATCATGCTAATTTATTTATTTTAATAATTGTAGTGCTTCTTCATATAACAAACTTCGGGTATGTATGTATTAATATTTAGGGAAATTTATGATTAACCCCTTCTGATTAGATCATAATTACTAGTACAACCTTGTAATTTTAGATTCCAGCTATATACCCCTTGGACTTTGATTCTATTTGTTGTCTCCCCCTTCCATCAAATCCTATTAAGAAAATAAACGACTCAATAAAAAACATCGTTAAATAGACACTGTATTGACCAATATACCCTTATTATTGATTATTTGTTCAACACACTCATTACTTTTTCTAATGCTACATATATAATTGTTGCTTGAACTCTTCGCAACTCACTTGGTTTAAGAGTAGGACGTAAGCCCCACAACAGAACAATGTTTTGAAAATCAACTTCCCTGAATTAAATTTTAGGAGTTGCACTAGAAGCCAAACAGTCCGCTTTCTAGTTCTCAGATCAATGATGTATCCACAAGCCCGACTAAGATATAGATCAAATGTTGATGTAGTTTTGAAGTTTATTTTCATCAGCTAGACTAAGTGGGGTTGAATACACGCCAAAATCAACTCCCAGACGATTGCACGCCTCAACAAATATGCATCCTGTCAACTAAGGTTACGTTCTTCAATTTTGTTTTAATGAATGAGTCTGCGAAGTTGGGGGGGAAAGTAAAAAAAGGGAGAAAAACATAGAAACTAAGTGTGCAGCAGTGATGCATGGGAAACGAACTCCTCAATTCATTGTTCTAATACTATTTGAAATAAACCTGGGAAGCACTTGTTTTACACTCCGTAGTTTATATTAATAGAGGACATTTTGGGAAATTCCTCTAACAATTAACCATCAAATTAACTTAAAGTTGACGGAAGGGGGAGATTCCATATATAATAAAAGCTCAGGGGGTTAATAATTCAGTTCTAAAATACAAGGTTGATTTTATAATTATAACCAAACCTTAAGGGGCTAATCATTATTTTCCCTAATATTTAATTGGTTATTTCTGTTAAGACTCGAGGTTCTCTCACAAAATGTTAACTTGATATGATGAGTAGTCCAAAGTCTTATTTGGTGTTTTATTGTTTTATACATAGTATGCAGTAGTTTTTTGGTGTGAGATAAATATTTTAACACGTCCTCTCAATCCAAACTAGACTGGAGAATATTGAGATGTATAAACTGTTCAAAAACTTTAATAACCTACTCTTAATCTCTTAATCGTGAATGTTAAGCAAGCATTCAAATGAATCAAATCACAACCGATGAACCGAACTTAACATTGATATCATTTGATATCATGTTAAAACCAGGAAAAACATCTAAAAAATCAATTGAAAAGTCCTAAAACTTGCGGATTCTCCAACTACCTCTATTAGTCAATCTTACCTTAAAGTCTTGAGAAATTTTGAATATCTGAATCCGTTCTGCAAGAAAACTTCTAAACGTGGCTCTCCGATGGCAACTACTTCTTTTCTTCCACTCCTATTTTTTCTCCTTCTCAGCCCCTTCCTATCTCTCTCCGCCACCTCCCCCTACCTGTCCCCCACCACCTTTTTCAGGAATTATGAAAAGATGCTCTCAACTTTCAAGGTTTTCATTTACGCCCCGCAAAAACCGTTCGATTTTACAACCCCGCCCTCCTCCTCCTTCCACGACGCACTCCTTAACAGCCCGTTTCTGACCACCGACCCTGAAGAAGCTCACCTCTTCTTCGTACCCTTTGCTCATAATATCTCCACGCGCGCTCTGGCGCGTTTGGTTCGAGAGCTCAGGGGAGCTTTTCCGTACTGGAACCGGACCCTCGGAGCTGACCATTTCTTCATCCACCCCACCGGAATTGACTTCTCCACCGACCGGAATATTCTCGAGCTGAAAAAGAATTCCGTGCAAATCTCTACTTTCCCGACAATTTCCGGCCGCTTTATACCCCACAAGGACCTCACGCTCCCGCCGGCGATCCATCACCGGGATCACGCACTCGCCGGAGCGCCGGGGAACAGAACGGCGCCGTTTCTCGGGTATATGAAATTGGACGGAAAGACAGAGCTGGGCATGGTAAAAGAGTTAAAACTGGATGGCGAGTTCTTGATCGAATCTCAGCCGTTGGATCATCTGGGTAATATCAAGAGCAGTAAATTCTGCCTCTTTTTTCACGGCGGTGACGTGTCATGGCTTGGGGAGGCGATGGCTTGGGGCTGCGTGCCGGTGGTGATTGTGGATCGTCCGATTCAGGACTTGCCATTGATGGGCGTGTTGAATTGGTCGGAGATGACGTTTTTGGTGGGGTCCTCCGGCGGGGCCACCGGATTGAAGGAACTGCTACGTGGCGTGGCAGAGGAAGATTACCAGAGAATGAGCAGATCGTGTGCTGCGGCGGCACAGCATTTGGCGTGGAACGCGGAATTGAAGCCGTACGATGCATTCCACATGGTTATGTATCAGCTCTGGTTGAGACGACACGCCGTTAGATACGCGAGGAGAGAAGAAAAGAGCTTGTGTTGGAAACATATTTTAGTTAAATAGTTACTGAAAAAAATGGATATTGCTAATCCTTATCTTAAGGATATCTGTTAATAATAAAGAGAAGCTTATTTATCTGGGATCAATGATTATAACTCTATTTTCTCCCATATCTCTAATAAAAACTTTATTACGGAGTATTATTATTTAGAGGCTGTTTGGAACTACAGTTTTTCGGCTTATCAGGCTTATCAACCAACTTTTTCATCATACACTTAACTTTTGTTTTCGCGCGCTGAATTGTGTAATAAGCAGAAAAAGTAAGAATGTAGTTACTTTTCTGGCTGTTTGGACTGAAGTTACTGTAGATGACCATTTTAACTATTTTTACATATAATTTTTTCTTTATTTTATCAATAAAATATATTTTAAAAATACTTTTTTCCTTAAATCAACAGAATCAGCCAATGCAGTCACTTCAGTCAGAACTTCATAAATTTCAGTAGAATTACTCGATTTTCGTGCTACCAAATGGACTCTTAATAATGCTTCCAGAACTCCAATCAGCAAGATTCATTACAATTTGACTTTTTCCCGTACCATGTGATGGTTAAGGAATACGGAGTATGAAATTTAGAGAGAAAATCCCTTTCAATCTCATCCCATTTATTTATCTAAGACCAGAGTCCATAAAAAAAAATAGCACCAATTTTGTTATTTTCAGATTAAGAAATGCACAAAAGTATTAGGTTGTTTTTAATTGGATTGAATTTTTTGTTGTTGTCTGATTTGTGTAAGTTTTGTTTTATGGGAATTGATTTGATACGATCTAATAATCATTTGATCTATTCTATTTGAAATCAATTGGTCTGGGACAACCCCAACCCTAGTGCTGTTATGATCTTCTAAAGTTTCTAAACTCTTATACTTACTACTCCCTCCAGACCGCAAAATAGTTTCCCATTCCTTTTTGGACCATCTCAAAAAAATAGTTCTCATTTCTCTTTTTGAAAAGTTTTTTATAACGATCATTCATTTATCTTTTTCTTTCTCAATCACAACCACAACCACACATTTCCACTTTAATTTCACTCTCTTAAACTCCGATCCAAGTCAATGCGAGAACTATTTGATAGGACGGAGGGTGTATATCTTAAATCCAAGTCCATTGAGTTTTTAAAAAATATAAGATCGTCAAAGTTTAATACCCTAGAATTGATTGATCCAGGATCGAAAACGGCTTCGATACCACCTGGTGCAAGCTTCTCAAGAGCAGAAAAGATAACCAAAGTACCAAGAGTGTAGACGATTAACCAAAGTACCACAAAAACTAACCATAACCACCAAAGTCCTATTAAATGCTTCATCTAGTAGACTAGTTAGTATATTGTCCATGCAACATTGCAACCCCAAGCTAGGGGTGGATCAGACCTGGTTACAGGCTAGTCCAACCCTGAGCTAACCGGTCAGATAATTTATATAGACACCCATGAACAGGACCTATAAAATTATGGACCGGTTCCAATCTAGGCAGTCTGATCCAATACCGTTCATGGCTGCTTCACGATGGACATGATGAATAAAATTAAAAAAAAATGAAATGGTTAACAGACCATACCGACCAGTCCAGACTAGGAGTGGGCATAAAAAACCGTAACCGGCATACCGAAGAAAAAATAAAAAAACCGGCATTTTTTTTGTTAACCGTACCGAATTTCTAAAAAAACTCGGTACGGTTAACCTACCGAAGGAAAAAGCGGTACACGGTATGGTTACAGTTTTAAAATTATCCTAGGTTGGTTAACCGATAACCAATACGGATTATGTGTTTTGTATACTCTGCAGTCCGCAAGTGGCCATAATTCGTAATTGCAATACATTACTACACCGCAGTCCGCAGGTTGGTTATTCATCGACGGAAAACATAGTATAGAGTATATTTTAAGTAAATACGGAGTAAAATAAGGCTACGTAAGACACTTCATATAGATAGTTATAATGGGTGTAATAATTACATACATTTCATAATTATTTCTTCTCATTTATTAAGAAAAAGATGCTTTGAATTTCAAATACTGATAAAAAAAAAAAATCAAATACTACGTATATAATTATATAAATATATTAGTTCGATCCTCATGCTGAAAAGCTATAATAAGTATCTCATACTCCGTAATCCGTATCTTCAATATACGTTTACATTGATGGAACAACCATTTTATTAATTTGGCAGTTTAATTCATTTCTTATTTATTTCACGGTTATTTGGTTAACCGTTAGTGGTTAACCGAAATTTTGGTTAACCAATACCCGGTTAACCGTCATAATGGTACAGATAGTTGTATTGAAAATATATTAACTGAACTATTGGTTAACCGGAAGTTGGTTAACCGAAAGGCGGTTAACCAACCGTGCCCCAGACCATCCTCAAAACATCTGGAACTATCTGGACCAGAGATCCTAAGCCCTCCCCTTATGGATGGACCCGGGCCGGTTCGGGCCCGGTTCGGGCCTAGGCCCGGCCGGGCCTCGGGTCTGTTTTGTTGGGCCCGAGCCCGAACCGGTGGCCACCGGTTCCGGGTCCGGTTCCGGGCCGGGCCGGGCCGGGCCGGGCCACCCGGTTTAATTTTTTTTTTTCCTTTCTTCCCCCACCCCCCCCAAACCCCCCCAAACCGGCCTAAACAGATAGCCCAAGCCCAACAGCCCAAAACAAATGAAAAAAATTAAAAAAAAAATAGATTTGGCCCGGACCCGGGCCCGAACCGGCCGGGCCGGGCCGTCAAAACCATGAACCGAGCCCGGAACCGCCCCACCCCCGGGCCTCCGGCCCGAACCGGACCCGGATAACCGGGCCGGGCCGGGCCCGCACAGTAGCGGGTCGGGCCGGTCCCGGGCCGGGCGGCCCGAACCGAGGCCATGCCTACCTCCCCTGATTCCAGTTAAAAATCGCCTTATTCCGATTGGGACTGGTCTCAACAGGTTGGCTCCCATCCAGCCAGTACACTCCATTCCCAAGCCTCAACCTTCCTTTTGGACTGATATGTATTTGATGTATATCTCCCTACCCTGCTTAAAAATGTTGTCGGACCCTATTTACATTCTAGTATTCTACCAATTTCCATGGGGTATCATACTCCAAGTCTCCCCCACACAGGTCCACGGGATGGCGAGCCCTAAAGCCACCTTTCACAAAGACGCAATGAAAGGCTAATTAGCTAATATCTATCGAATTTGTAAAACTAAAGATATACACACTGTCGCATTCTATATTTCTATTTAAGATTAATAATATTAAAACTCAAAGCTTATTTACAAACATCCGTAGTCATTAAACATTGCAGTTGAATGAAGTGAATTGGTGACTAAAAACAAAGTAGATTTATTTGCTAAGCCTAGCTAATTAACTCATGTTCGCCCATATTCTGTATATACGAATAGGTAGAAATGTTTATTGACGATGATAACTAAATTACATTCGGAAAAAGCTTTAATAACGCTAAGATAAATTACAAGGCACACCCGATTTATGGACTTCTGGGCAAAGCATCTCCAGATGTAAAAAATGAAAAAACAAGCCTCTCCACATGGTTAAACATCAAAACTTAACTCAGTAGTTCCTTGTGAGTATAGACAACTTCTTTATCTCCGTTCACTACGTGCCCATTTCCTCTTGCAATCCTGCCCATATGCACATACCATTTCAATTTTTGACATACGTCACCAACTTTTATATATGCAACTAGGATATCATTCTCCTATCTAAAAAGGAGTATATTCTAAATACTTGTTTTTATGCATCATATATAAAAATTAATAGGTTCTATAGGATTCTATGTAGCCGATGTATATGATGCAGTAATGAAAAATTATACTGCAGACCTATTCATTTCAACTGAAATTTTATAGTGTGATCTAATCTTCACAAGGGTTGCATGGGCTGTTTAAGTTTAATACAATACGTTTAAGTGTGGTCTAGTCTAATATGAGATTATATAAGGCGAACTAACTTGATGCTTTATCTTTTCCAACAAAGAGAAATACCTATGATGCTGAATTTAGTATTATTGTATGGTACTTATGGAGTGATATAAAAGCATACCATCGTGTTGTTAACAATCCTTCTACTCCTACAGGACCACGTGCGTGAATCCTGCTTGTACTTATCCCCACCTGTTTTGCACAAACAAATGGAACAGCTTATTATACTCATACAGCTCAAATGTAATGAATGGTTTGATTATTTTTTACATAAGCTTCAAATATCTACCTCTGCACCAAGTCCAAAGCGAAATCCATCACTAAATCTTGTGCTGGCATTATGAAATACAGCAGCACTAAAGAAGAAAAAATTATTATATAAAGGAAAAACAAATACTGTATTCTTTAGTGGAATTGATGATAAAAATAAAACATTTACTGTAAAGTAGAAAAAAACACAGTGCAGAATCTGTAGATACCTGTCAACTTGATGTAAAAACACTTCGGCAACTTCATTGTCTTCAGTGATGATGCAATCAGTATGAGCACTGCCAGTACATAAATGAGAGATTCAAATAAATACAAAAACTTATAGTCTTGCAAAGTTAAACCGCAAGATTTGTCATTTTTCAAGATTAAAGCTACTCACACTCTTAAAAACTAGTCATTTTTAACAAGTAAAATATTTTATATTTTTAGTCAACTCAATTATGATACAAGCGTTTACAAGTTGTGAAAAGTCAGTTGTATGTCTCTAAAATCAATTCCAATATAGTTTGGAAAATTGCAAAAAACCATTACCCCGTCGCTTTATAAATTTCATTAACAAATTGTGTTGACTTTTAAAGCAAGTTTATTTTTCAAGACGGATTTTTTAAATAAGGCTCTTTTGGAGGCAGGAAACAATATTTCCAGGCTTGGAAAGTAGAGGCTATCACTTGAGAATACAGAGCATTTTGAAAAGTTATACGAACAGTTATTTTTGATAGTTTTCTTTTTTAAAGTTCTGTGCATAAAAGTAAAAGGCCTCAAGGTTATCTAGCATGTATATGCAGTTACTAAGTACAAAAATCTAAAAAATGAGAAGCATACCTTCCATGCTGATGTATATGATCAATTGCATCGTACACATCATTAACAATTTCAACAGTGCAAGCCAGAGAACTATATTCATGATGTAATGAATCAGCCTCTGGAATATTCAGCAGAGAGCTCGCCTCTGGTCCTCCATATATAGTAACCCCTGAAACACCAAGCAAATTGTATTGTTCAAAGCTTA